GCAAGCATCACATCTAATTTATAGTGTTCTGCCCATCGCAGAGTTCAATAGATGTGAGCACATTATAGAATGTTACTAAATTCATGTGTTGAAATTAGACACTATATGGACCACATTCTGAAATTTATTTATCTTAAAAATACCAACGAATTCCAACGGTTATTAAAATTAAAACAGAGTTTTAATTAATTTGAGAATTCTAATGGGTATTGAAATTAATTTGGGAATTTCAAACGGTATTGAAATTAATTTGAGAATTCCAATGGGTATTGAAGAAAAAAAATCCCAACATCTTTTCAATAGGGTCAGTCCGAGTGGTTTTCTCTTTACGAGTTTTCCACATAAAAATTTTTGGTGTCTCGACTAGTCATTTTCTTTCATCTGAGTGTGTGTTAAATCCTCGTGCAACGCTAAGCCGATAATCCATTAATCTACATCCGCAAATCTTTTATCACGCATCAGTGATCAAGCCAGGTTTCTTATGATCCCAATAAATTTGATGAAGATTTTTTTTGTAAAAAAACAAAATAAAATAAATAATTCAATATGGTAATCTAAAACTAGCTCAGAGTTAAACTTTTTTGTTCAGCGGTTGTTACAATATTATGTCACATATCCTTACAGCAGTCTGATTAAAAAACTTTTTTAAGAGAGCATTGTACGCGTAATTTAATAAACAACAAAGTATACGTTACTGAGACAAAACGTGTTAAGAAATAATCAATTATTTTTATTATATCATCAGAAATCATGATTATTATTTATTAACTCGACAAGAAATAGTCCATTTCTGAGAGATAATCACATGCAGATATCATAATTTCTCGGACCATATGTGATCAGAAATTTGTAGTTTAGCTTATCTGGTCCCTTTAAAAAATTTTTATATTAATTAATTACATCTGCGAAAGAAATAAAATTAATCTTATGATGTTAAGAGGACAAACTTACGTCAGCTATGTAAAACCAGTGCTGTATTATATATATATGTTTGACAAGTTCTTTCTTCCTTTAAAATAATTAATAGCCTCAATTTCTTACAAAGAACTTGTCACTAGTCATAGTCTATTGTAGTTTTAATTAATAAATTAAAGCTGATGATTAGTAAGCTTTGGATTTTTCCATTTTTTTTGGAAGCCTTTGAAAAGCATATTTTTCCTAATCAATAATTATTCTGTTCATCTGCTTAGCGAAAGATCACAAAAGCTGCTTAAAACCTTCTCTTATTATATAACCAGCCCCTTCATACTCTCCGTTTTCAACAAAAATAAGAAATTTTATAAATTTTATTAATGCAATAACTTATGCTCATGGAATAGCATGGCCCAAATTGCGTAGATGGGTAAAGAGAAACATATATATTTAAATGAGAACTTGGTAAAGCTGTTAAAGTGGGACTTGAATAACTCTTCTCAACATATTGATTAATGTAAAGAGAAAAAAAAAACCATATAGAAGTATTGCTATACTATCCAAATAAATCCCATAAAAAAAATGATGGCCCCACTTAAAACGGATTGATTAAAATATTGACAGAATCATTGTTTTATTTATTCTTTTATTTTTCTTTGTTTTCTTTATTTGGGCGTTATTAATAGATCCAAGCAAACAAAGTAGAACATAATAATTGTTGTATGTGAAAATTTGTCCAGAATTCATGTGAGCTTTTCCCCCAAAAAAACAGTTCAGCTTACTCGAACTAAAAGGGGTGCCACCGGCATGATGCAGATTATGTTTTATGCATTTTTGATTCTCTGACATATTCAACACTACATTCCACATTGTGTTTTCATTGGAAAAGGGGGCAGACTTCTCCCAAATTACTGTGTTTTTATAGGAAGTTTTTTTTTAGGAGTTGAAGATGGTTATTGCCTCATATTATGACTATCACTGAATTTTTCTCTCTTTTAGAAAAAGCAGCAATGTCTGCAGTGAAGTTGCAGATAAAGTTCCAGTCCAAACCTCTCTCTCTCTCTCTCTCTCTCTCTCTCTCTCTCGCTCCCTCCGTAGTCAGAATTGACCTGCTTTAATCCCTCATGCAGCTTTCGTGATCTCTGAGCAGCTGCAGTAGACGAAGATCAGTGAACGACGGAAACAGTCTACTACATGCCAATTAACGAATTATTTTACTCAAAATTGAAATATGTTTTACGTGATGGATGAAAAAATCAATCGAAAGAAAGTTAGTTAAAAGCTTTATTATCTAATTGTTTATTATGAAATAGCTTATCGTGATCTGTATAAAGTTAACCGATTTCATAATATAGCACCTCTCTTGTTTAAAGTACCAACAACACTAAACAGAAAAAAATTGCATGTGAGACGCGGTGAAACTTCCACATGCATATACATCGATCTTTCAACGTTTTTATATAATCTCATATCAATCGTTTTGATGATATAATTATTTTTTTATATAGAGTATTAGAGATGAAAATGCGAAGAATATTATGAAAGTAATTAAGTAGCAATCTAAACTCAGATAACAGATCTAGCAGAGCATTTGGAGCTCCGTTCCTCTACCCATCTACGTACACATAGAACAGAAATTAATGTCAAACCGCTCGTCAATTGATCAACGTATGAGGCCAACTATGAGTAAAGACTTTGATAAACGCCTTGCTGTTTTGCGTCGGCGTTAGGCCACAAAATTGTTCGACTGTCATCGTTCATGAAGCCGCCGAGAAGCTCAGTCCAGGAAGAGAAACCGAGCTCGGGGAAGAAGGCGGGGGCTTGTTCGAAGCAGATTTCTTCATCGATCCAGTTTATGTAGCCATTTCTGAAGCCTTCGTCTACTGTCATGGATGAAGAGGAGGCGGAGACATAGGGGAAGCTTGGCTCCAGTGTTGCTACAGGGAAAAAGGCCGCTTCAGTTTTCATCACTGGAATTTGAGCTGGTGGTGATGTGACAGAGGGTGAAGGAGAAGGATGGTGAAGTTTGTTTGCAATTTGGATGTTTGATAAAGGGGTATTAATGGATCCTCCGGCCGCCATTATTTTTTTCATCAGCTTCGTGTTCCAGTAGTTCTTCACGTCGTTATCGGTTCTTCCATGGAGATGGGAGGCTATTACAGACCATCTGGTAAGAAAAAGGGGGGTTTTCATTAGCATGAAAATGAAGGAAAAAGGTGGAATTTTGATCACTGATTAATATGCTAATTAAGTACCGGCTTCCAATGGTCTTGTAAAGGGAGAAAATAATGTTGTCCTCTTCCTCGGTGAAGCCACCATGCTTTATATCCGGACGGAGGTAGTTGAGCCAGCGAAGGCGGCAGCTTTTGCCGCATCGTTTAAGGCCTGAAATCGAATCAAAAAGCCGTTATAAGCAAATGAAAAAAGAAAGGGGGGAAATTCTCAGACATTAGTAAGAGAAAAAGAAAAAGAAATGCAAGAGCATGGAAGTTGACCAGCTTTCTGAGGCAAGGAGATCCAGTTGCCGCCGGTGCCATGGCGCTCGACGTAGCTGCGAAGTGTGGCATCTTCTTCGGGAGACCAGGGGCCGCGCTTTACGTTGGCTTTATCGCAGCAAGGAGCTCTTCCCATTAGAACAAACAAAGAAAGTGAAAAAAAAAGAGCTTCTGCGAAAGGATGGAGATGGAAAATTAATGATGGAGAGGAAGCAGGAAGAAACCAAAGTCGAGATTTTAATGAGACAGAGAGCGATGGAAGTGTGCGGAGAGAGTGGAGAGTTTGAAAGGGAAAAGGAAAAATGTTGTTCGTCTGCTTTGGTGGCCCGGCATATAAAGAGCGTAGGTGAAGACCCTCAACACACTCTCCATCCCTAATGCTTTTGATCGAACTGCTTGACCGCGTACGACAAAAGAAGGTTTTTGGCGTGTGTGGAAAAAGTTCTGAGGCGTGGAACCAAATGTAAATATTAAAAAGAAAAAGAAAAGAAATATATATATATATATATATATATATATATATGTGTGTGTGTGTGTCTGTGTGTGTCTGATCAACTTCGTCTGTGCCATGGGAGCAATGCTCTACGTGTCATTTTATATGATGCAAATAGTGCTTGCTATTAAAATGCAGTGTTGCGTCATGCATAATAGTACGTGCCATTTTGCACCATCTATCTTCATCCTCTACAAAACTCAAATGACTCTAGCTCCTTCCCCAAGAATAAAAGTAGGAAAAACTCCAAGCTAGTTCAACCAGCCAAACTATGTGAATTGACTTGGCCCATATCACAACCCTAAATGACTTCAAAAATTCGCACAAGCTCCCTATCATATCTGCATAGATTCCAAACATTTTTCAAGTCTTTACAATGCCTAATCCATCCATATTAGCAAGTCTTAAACACATAACGCCAAATTACATGCTCTTGGGTTCCCTGAGATCCCCATGCTTGGTTGACCATAAATTGTCAATATTTTGAGCAAATAGACTGAATGACTTTTCCTTTGCTTTCATTCCAATAAATAATAGTTTGTACAATCTATTTTAGGTACATATTATTCAGTATAATCTGAATTAAGTAACTTAATTAATACATATTCATTATCTAAATATTCAGCTAAAATGAAAGAATCCGTGCAAATATAATATTTCCTTCTTTACAGTATTGCGAAGAAGGAAACTCTTTATTCTGTTTGATTTCATTTATTCCTGATTGATATCCCCCTTCAAATTGATGTTGGTTAGTCAAGAAGCATCAATTTGCTGACAAGAAACTGATGACGCTGTCGAGAAAGAGCTTTAATAAATATATCAGTCGTCTGAAGATCAGAAGTGATATGAGGAAGAGAAATAACACCCTCATCGTAGACTTCTCAAATGAAATAACAATCCACTTCAATGTATTTTGTGCGCTCATGAAAGACGGATTAGCAGCAATATGGATAGCACTAGTATTATCTGCATGAAGAGAAGTAGACTCAAGCTGAGGAAAACCAAGCTCACTCAGCACACCACGAAGCCAAATGATCTCAGAACAAGCAGAGGACATAGCGCGATATTTTGATTCAGTAGATGACTTAGACACTCGATCTTGTTTCTTGCTCTTCTAAGAGATTAAAGAGTTGTCGAGAAACATGCACCATCCAGTAATAGATCGGAGTGTATCAGAACAACCAACCCAATCGACATCACTATAGGCTGTTAAGGTGATAGGAGACTCTGCACAAAAGAACAAACCACGATGAGAAGTATCTTTCAAATATCGAATAATACGTCGAACTGCAGCTAAATGAAGATGTGTAGGTGCTTGCATAAATTAACTTATTGCACAGCAAATGAAATATCAGGACGCGTAATAGTCAGATAATTGAGACTGCCAACCAGTTGTCTATATAGAGATGGTTCAGATAGAAAGTCACCATCATTTGTTGATATTTGACATTTACTTCCAAAGGGGTATCAGTGGAGCGACCAACTTGAAGACCAGCCAAAGCAATGAGTCTCTTTGTATAGTTGTGCTGATGAAGAAAAATA